TTTGGGGGCATTAACCAATGAGATATTTTGTTTCTTATCAAACGGTTGTAATTGGTTAAGATGTGACCAGGCAACAACTTTTCAAGATAAGCTGCAGTGTGACACGCAGTTCAACATTTGTTCCTGTGACATAGACATAGAGCCTAGAGCCTGGGAGTTAACGACTTTTTCTGCCCAAAAAAAATAGCTTAATGACACTTTCTCACCTTTAACTTCTAAATTATCACTTTCTCACCCAAAACAAAAACCTATTAGTAATTTTTATTATGAAGAAGGGTAGAATGGTCAAAAGGCAATTAAAAGTGAAGGCAGAAGGGTCATATTCCATTTTGGCCAGATACGTTCCCAAACCCTAACCACCGGTTTAGGTCAGTTCAGGCGGTTCGACACGATTCCAACGTCGTTGATCAGCGCAGACTCCACCCTTAGCTTCCCCCATCCTTCACTCACAAAAACCCCTCACTTTACCACCACACCAAGCACACCAATCGCCGGCCACCATTGGTTTTTTGTTCGTATGACCGTTGAGCTTCTAGGCTAGATTCCAGCCAATTTGGTTGCCAAAAATTCCACCTAAAGCCACCTGTAGTATCAGCCACACCTCTCTAAAAGCCCCATCATCCTAGACCTTGGTTGCTCATTGTTCATCGGACGTCAACCATTCAACAAAAGAACTAAACCACGGTCGTCGACGATTGGAGAACTATCACGGTCTAAATTGTTAGGGCTATTGAAGAGGGATGACTAGTGATTCGTTTGGTGGTAGAAGGTCAGATTGTGGTGGTCAGAGTCAACCGAAATCGTGCATGAAAGTTTGATTTGTGGTGGTTGGTGATTAAGGATTGAAATTTGGTGGGGTTATTTTTGTCTTTGCGATCAATATTACTGTATTTAAAGGAAATTATCAACAAAGTTTGTGTTTTGCGTGGGAATGTGGTGTGTTAAAACTTTTACGGGTGGAAAAGTGTCATTAAGGCATTTTTTGGGTGGGAAAAAGTCGTTAACTCTAAAGCCCGGTGAAGTAAACCATGTAAAGGGTGTGGTTTGATTATATATTGCGCACACACACCGAAGTAGAGCACCACAATTTTGGTCTTGGCTGCTGGGTTATAAAAAGTCCTCGCATTATGGACCTGAAAGCAAATATACTAATAAATGGATCAGTCCAGTTTGGAGCAAGCCCAGTTTGTCTATAAATCTAGTATTAGGTCCAATGTTACCCTTCCAATATTTGTAGTCCATTTTTTTAAATAAATATTCATTTAAGTTATATTACTAATTTTAATTCTCAAAATGTCAATTTATTTTTTGTTAAAGGGCATATATAATTGCTATAGATTATACAAGAGTTAACAGTCTAATATTTAATAATATGATTAAAACGTGTTCATGTTAGATTTGGTTTCTGCTTTTTAAATAAAACCTGATCTTTTGTTATCAGGTGTGCCATCCCTTGATACTGGGTTATTATAGCAAAATTCCTTTAAGACAAGGAGGATGTTGGCAGATAAATTTGAAACTATAATGATAAATACTTTTTGAGTGTTCAAATATCTGAGGAAACTGTTGATATGGAACAAAGAGATTCAACCATCAGTGGAGATATGATTTGGTTCTAAATGAAATATGTATATTGTAATTTATTCCTTTTCCTTATGGTTGAGATTATGACTTTATTGTGTAATATTTTCCTTCCTTACATGTTCATTTCTTATTGCATAGATGGATGTAAACATGTATATATATTGTGTAATATTTTCCTTCCTTACATGTTCATTTCTTATTGTATAGATGGATTTAAACATGTATATATATGAGATATCTCAATTGTCAAATCGCGTATCATATTATGTATCAAAAATCTAATTTTTTGAATCATATATCATGTATCGTATCGTATTATATGATACGCATTTTTTCAAAAAAAATTAATAAAATAATCAAAATTTTCTAAAAATTAATATTATCACCAAGATTAATTAAAGAATTTTGTGGTATTATTGGTCTTAAATTATAATATTACATAATCAAAATTAATCACAAAATTAAAAATCTATGTTATTTTCTCTCAATCATTCATATCATTTCCAAGATCAATGTCAATATATATATCTTCACTTATATTATTATTATCATGCAAAATGGACAATACATGTTCCTCTTCACTTTCTCCATGCAAAATGAGTAAATTTAGACAGGTTTTAATCAACCAGGTTGGGTGACCCGGTTCCAACCAGAAATTTTTTTGGGCCTTTCGCCCAAATTAATAAAATTATATCGATTTGTATTGATATTTTTAAAGATATGAACGAATATGTATCGTATCGTAGGATACATATCAATGTATCAAAAAGTTTATGATACACTCTCTGATACGTATTGTTGACGACCTGTATCGAATCGTATCATATATAATACGTATAAGATATTATAGGATACTAATAACCATGATCTCAAAAAATATACAAAAGCTTTTAGATCGTCTCTCTTGCCTCTCCATTATCAAACTCTGACAGAAACATCGTAATGACTTATAACAAAGAAAGCCATAGTGCTTCTACTATTTTCAAAATTCGAATAGAAAACTGTTCTGACAATCTTGTACGAAGAATACATGCCAATAAATTAATAAAACTCATAATACGAGCTACATAAATGCATTCAACTTACCCTTCTTTACAATTTTATATAAAAGAATTTCAAAGCATCAGGTCTCAAATTTTCAATGACCATTAAAGATTACTCAAGAAGCTTTCTTGATGAAGAATCCTGTACAGACACGTCCGTGGTTTGGACAGAAGTCGAGGAATCTGCCCAAGGTCCTTCGCGACTATCATGAGAGAAGGTTGTGACGCGGGTTTGGCTGTCCTGTGATAGTATCTCAAATGCTTTGAACCTCGNTTGTTCATCAGACATCAACCATTCAACAAAAGAACTAAACCACGGTCGTCGACGATTGGAGAACTATCACGGTCTAAATTGTTAGGGCTATTGAAGAGGGATGACTAGTGATTCGTTTGGTGGTAGAAGGTCAGATTGTGGTGGTCAGAGTCAACCGAAATCGTGCATGAAAGTTTGATTTGTGGTGGTTGGTGATTAAGGATTGAAATTTGGTGGGGTTATTTTTGTCTTTGCGATCAATATTACTGTATTTAAAGGAAATTATCAACAAAGTTTGTGTTTTGCGTGGGAATGTGGTGTGTTAAAACTTTTACGGGTGGAAAAGTGTCATTAAGGCATTTTTTGGGTGGGAAAAAGTCGTTAACTCTAAAGCCCGGTGAAGTAAACCATGTAAAGGGTGTGGTTTGATTATATATTGCGCACACACACCGAAGTAGAGCACCACAATTTTGGTCTTGGCTGCTGGGTTATAAAAAGTCCTCGCATTATGGACCTGAAAGCAAATATACTAATAAATGGATCAGTCCAGTTTGGAGCAAGCCCAGTTTGTCTATAAATCTAGTATTAGGTCCAATGTTACCCTTCCAATATTTGTAGTCCATTTTTTTAAATAAATATTCATTTAAGTTATATTACTAATTTTAATTCTCAAAATGTCAATTTATTTTTTGTTAAAGGGCATATATAATTGCTATAGATTATACAAGAGTTAACAGTCTAATATTTAATAATATGATTAAAACGTGTTCATGTTAGATTTGGTTTCTGCTTTTTAAATAAAACCTGATCTTTTGTTATCAGGTGTGCCATCCCTTGATACTGGGTTATTATAGCAAAATTCCTTTAAGACAAGGAGGATGTTGGCAGATAAATTTGAAACTATAATGATAAATACTTTTTGAGTGTTCAAATATCTGAGGAAACTGTTGATATGGAACAAAGAGATTCAACCATCAATGGAGATATTATTTGGTTCTAAATGAAACATGTATATTGTAATTTATTCCTTTTCCTTATGGTTGAGATTATGACTTTATTGTGTAATATTTTCCTTCCTTACATGTTCATTTCTTATTGCATAGATGGATGTAAACATGTATATATATTGTGTAATATTTTCCTTCCTTACATGTTCATTTCTTATTGTATAGATGGATTTAAACATGTATATATATGAGATATCTCAATTGTCAAATCGCGTATCATATTATGTATCAAAAATCTAATTTTTTGAATCATATATCATGTATCGTATCGTATTATATGATACGCATTTTTTCAAAAAAAATTAATAAAATAATCAAAATTTTCTAAAAATTAATATTATCACCAAGATTAATTAAAGAATTTTGTGGTATTATTGGTCTTAAATTATAATATTACATAATCAAAATTAATCACAAAATTAAAAATCTATGTTATTTTCTCTCAATCATTCATATCATTTCCAAGATCAATGTCAATATATATATCTTCACTTATATTATTATTATCATGCAAAATGGACAATACATGTTCCTCTTCACTTTCTCCATGCAAAATGAGTAAATTTAGACAGGTTTTAATCAACCAGGTTGGGTGACCCGGTTCCAACCAGAAATTTTTTTGGGCCTTTCGCCCAAATTAATAAAATTATATCGATTTGTATTGATATTTTTAAAGATATGAACGAATATGTATCGTATCGTAGGATACATATCAATGTATCAAAAAGTTTATGATACACTCTCTGATACGTATTGTTGACGACCTGTATCGAATCGTATCATATATAATACGTATAAGATATTATAGGATACTAATAACCATGATCTCAAAAAATATACAAAAGCTTTTAGATCGTCTCTCTTGCCTCTCCATTATCAAACTCTGACAGAAACATCGTAATGACTTATAACAAAGAAAGCCATAGTGCTTCTACTATTTTCAAAATTCGAATAGAAAACTGTTCTGACAATCTTGTACGAAGAATACATGCCAATAAATTAATAAAACTCATAATACGAGCTACATAAATGCATTCAACTTACCCTTCTTTACAATTTTATATAAAAGAATTTCAAAGCATCAGGTCTCAAATTTTCAATGACCATTAAAGATTACTCAAGAAGCTTTCTTGATGAAGAATCCTGTACAGACACGTCCGTGGTTTGGACAGAAGTCGAGGAATCTGCCCAAGGTCCTTCGCGACTATCATGAGAGAAGGTTGTGACGCGGGTTTGGCTGTCCTGTGATAGTATCTCAAATGCTTTGAACCTCGCATCCTGGCTGTCAGTCTTGCGCTTAATAATCGGTGCCTGGACTGCACTTTTGCCTTCTAGCATACTAACTACAGAAGACATGGGTGGCCTGAGAGTGGGAGATGAGTTGGTGCATAAAAGAGCAATGTTAAGCATGGTCATTGCCTCTTTTTTGGAGAACTTTGTACCAAGAGTTGGATCCACAAGTTCAAGAAGGTTTCCTTGCTCTTGCAGAACCAATGCCTGCAATAAGAAAAGAAAAGAAAAAATGTCAGTCACAATGTCAAAGCAAGAACTGCAAATGTAACTTCACAAAATGTCTGGAAGTGATGGATGCAGTTAATATAGATTACCCAATCGAGAAGATAAACGAACTCCTCCTTTGGCCTATAATTAGTGTTGCTCTTCCCACTGACAATCTCCAAAGCAACAACCCCAAAGCTGTACACATCTGCTTTATCAGTCAAATAACCCCTCATTGCATATTCTGGTGCCATGTACCCTCTGCAGAAGAAACAGAGATCAAAACATAAGCTTAAAACCGTTCCACTGGCCAATGAAGACTTACAGGAGCATCTAAATTTAGAGAGAAACAGAAGACTTACATTGTTCCAGCTATACGTGTGCTAATATGGGTGTTCTCTTCTTCATCAAGCTTAGCTAAACCGAAGTCAGATATCTTAGCGTTTAGATCTTTGTCAAGCAGCACATTGGTTGCCTTTATGTCTCTGTGAACAATTTTCAACCTTGATTCCTCGTGAAGATAAGCTAATCCCCTTGCAATACCTATGCATATCTTCATTCTTGTTTCCCAGTTCAAGTTGAGCAGTTGTTCTGGTTTACCTAAAATAGGAGAAAATACAAGAATTCAGTCACAGTTAATTCTAGAAATTATATAAGTCCATTAAATATCAGTGGTCCAATTACCGAAAAGTGCACGAGCAAGACTATTGTTTTCCAGGTACTCGTATATTAGCAATAACTCTTTTCCTTCAATACAACAGCCGTAAAGCTTCACAAGGTTTGGGTGCTGTAGAGCAGATATCATGCCTATCTCAGTCACAAATTCACGATTTCCTTGCTTTGATTTGGAGGAGAGCTGCTTCACAGCAATTACAGCACCATCCGCCAATGTACCCTAGAATCGAAAGAATAAAGTTTCAGAATACTGAAAACATGGCATTTCCCTAGCACTTGCCACTGTCTTACGAAGTATGAGTAAACTTGATAGTTTTAATATAAGAACCATCGTTACCTTGTAAACAGGCCCAAATCCTCCTTCACCAATCTTATTTTCAGGGTCAAAATTATGGGTAGCAGATTTAAGTTGTCTTAGAGTGAAAAAACCAGTTTGAAGATCAAGAGCACGGAGTTCTGCAACAAGAACAGAGATAAAACTTAGCCAACCATAGGAGAAAACAGTAGCTTTGCTGTGCATAATGCACAGGCATATTAATGTAAGAATGAAGCAAAAATATTTTACTACTCCAAACATAGTTTTGAATTATCAACATTACCTTTGTCTTCAAGGTCTTTTGCCCACAAGTAACCCATCTTCCATAGTATAACCAACACCACCAGTATGAGAACTACACATGAAGCAATTACGATGCCAACAATGGCTCCGACTGATAAACCCCCAGTGTCAACTTCGAAGTCTACAAGAAGAAATTAAAAAGAAGTTACAGGACAAGTTGGCAGAAAGAAAAGGGGGAAATCCTTATATAGGAGAAAAACTTACTTGGTGTCACAGTGATACCAGATATAAGAGGTCCATAGACACCTCTAGCCGGAAGGGCAGCAGTTCCTTTCCCTGCCCAGTATAAATGGATATCCAAAGTGCTGCCTCTTACTGTGACATTTTTATATTCCTTGGTGATGCCAATACCAGCGCCTCCAGCTTCCTCCATAATATTAAAGTCACTTAAAACTACCTCCCCCTATGCCAAATTGTGATTATTAGAACTTTGCAAGCTTAACTGAAAGTGGACATTCTTCCTCTTCTCAAAAACTGAAGAAATCTTTAACAAGTAGGAAACGTCAAATATTCGCTTTTCCTTTACCTGAATTGAAACATCAAATATTCGCCTTCCGAGGCTGCTGAATGTCTGATCATTCGTAAACATAATTTCAGCAAAGTGCAGTTTCACATTGTAACTGCCTTGTCGCATGCACAGGCCATAATACCTAAGTGATTGCGGTGATAGGCGTGCAGTTTTGTAGTATTCTTCACCACTCACATTCAGACGGCTTGGGCTTGATGCCAAGTAACTAATACTTTCATTGCCTGTAAAAACCCCAGTACTGCTATAAGCCCATTTTCTGCCTACCGAAGAAAAGAATGATTGGCCTTCTGTGCTGAGGTCCTCTTCATAACTGTCGCCCCCAGAACTCAAGAGACTTCCTCCACAATTAATGAACAAGGAATAGTCTGCAGGTACATCAAAAGAAGAAAAAGGTGTTAAGAAATGCTTCTGTTGGGGGTCTAGATGGTTATATCAGATGGTTATATTGCAATTCATGAAAGAACAAACTGACATGTAATTATACTTACGTGTGGCTTTTTCGGGGCAGGGAAGGTCCTTCGTCAAGCACCAAGAATTTCTACCAGTTGAAAATTTATTTTGAGTTAATCATTTATGTTTTTGTTTCAATAGAAACAAGAAAGAAAATTACAACCTTACTGATAACAAAAAAATTAAAAAAGAATAAGGAAAAAGCTTACGAGTTGCTCACAGAGGATGGAAGACTGGAGATTACATTCCTGTTAAGTGATACAAGAAAGATTTAGATACAATAGAAGAAACTACAGAATTAATTATAATAACTAAAAAAAAGCAGATTTGCACATATAAGTAACTGATATAGAAAAGTTGCTTACACTTTGCTCTGTGTGCAACTAGCTGTAAATGGCTCCGAAAAATTGTTATAAGATAAATCCCTGCAATGCCACAGAATCGATAAAAATTATTCAAAATGTAATTGACAGCTAAGTCTCACATCAGCGAGAAAAAATATGGCAAACTTACCATTTCTTGTCACCATTTAGTATCCAACCGGGAACTGCTCCAGTCAATGAGTTGTTGCCGAGGAAACTAAGAAAAAGAAAAGTATGCAAACCACTGGTAAGTTAGCGACTATATATGAAAGTGCTTATAGACAAGGGATCACTATATGTTCTTATTGACTTACACAAAATCTATGGCAGCCAAACTCTGAAGTGTTCCAGGAATTTCACCAGTCAACTGGTTGGAGCTCAAGTCTCTACAATAATAAAATAGGACCATGCAATTATAAATTAGTTAAATTTTCTTCAAACAAATCTATCAACTGTAACGCATTTTCTTATATACTGTTTCCTATCCCAAAAAGAAGGTGCAGTTTCTTATATAAGTTGATCCATCACCACAAAAAAGATTAGCAACTTACAGAAGTTTTAAAGCTGTCATATCCCCAAGATATTGTGGGATTGTACCATTAAGCAAGCAATTCCTCAGTACCCTGAGTCATAGAAATAGAGTCAATTTGTTGACAAGTTAATGCAATAAAAAAATGAGCCACATTGAATGTTATATTGCAGTAAATTAAGTCAATGTCAACTCACAATCTTTCCATTTCAGTCATATTCTGCAAATTGGGGATAGGCGAACTTGATCCTTTCAAATCAGAAATCCTCCTGAAAATGCATATAAGCATTGAAAATTGTCAACGGCTCAATCATTAAAGGATTCTCTATTTACAACAATTTGCTAATCTGAATAATGTAGTCAGTATTATGCAGGACCAAGTGCTTACAGTTCTGTTAACTTCGTCAACCGTGATATAGAGGAAGGAATAGGTCCCTCCATGGAGGTTCCCTGCATCTCACTGCAAAAGATTTAAGACAACTGAGATAACTACAACTTCTAAACAATTGCAATTTAGTTTCTTAAAGAAGAAAACTATTGGTGTATTATGGAATGCAGTTAAAAACTCACAGTTTGGTCATATTAGTCCAATTCCCAATGAAATCAGGTATCTTCCCTGTCAAGTTATTTCCATCTACCCGACTGCAAGCACAACTTTTTTATCAGAAATTTGTGAATTCAGACCACTAGAATTTCATATATTTGTGTCTCCTTAAATCACTTACAAATCTTGTAAGTTTGTCAGGTTGCCAAATGATTCTGGTATTGATCCCGCAAAATTGTTTGAAGAAAAAAGACTGTAAAAGTAAACAATGGGTTAAAATTTGAACAGAACCAAAAACGGCAGTTGCCTGATTCTTCAGAAAAAGAATATATTGGAAAATATGGACAGAAGCCTTACATTCTCCTTAAGCTCCTCACGTTTCCAAGGCTCTCAGGAATAGGTCCTTCAAATTCATTAGCTTCCAAGACCCTGGAAAATGAATCTAAATTGTCATTGATGTTTTAATTAATTCTTTCTTCATTTAAAAATAGACTCTAATGAATAACTTACAGCTCCTCCAGTGAAGAAAAATCACCAATTTCCTGGGGAAGTAAACCGCCAACACGGTTTCCTAGAACAGACCTGTAATTTACGTAAGAGTTATGAATCAGCCACCAATGAGTTATCTAAATTGTCAATAACTAAATGAATAACAAAATTGAAAAAAGCCCTCAAAGTCACAGCAAGAAAATATAAGGAATTTCTGAAACCCGGATTAAAAAAAAACAGATGAGAACTAAATTGAAGTGGGTACGAGTCTGGAGCAACTTACAAAATGGTAAGATTTTGGAGCTGAGCCAATCTTGCAGGGATTGTTCCATTGATATAGTTGCGGGCAAGATCGCTGTTTAGACAAAACCAACATCACTTAGTGCTCAATCTTAGAGAGCCATTTCATAAAGAGTGTCAATATTACACAATGATAGTTAAAGTTGTACCATTTGAGAGGACTACATATTGTTTTGGAAATAAAAAGAAAGGCATCGATTCTTTAAAATCATGTCCCAGAGGCATTAACAGAATAATATCCTAATGCAGAAAAAAGAAACATCCACTTACATTTGTCTCAGAAGAGTGAGATTTGCAAATTCTTCTGGAAAAACTCCAGCTAAATTTAGGCCCTTAAGAAAGCTATCACAACAAAAATAATAAGAAAACATATAAGTAGAAAGTACAAACAGAACAAGTCAGAATTTAACAGTGAACGTCAAAAGCATTAGAATTCATATAATATGCCACAACACTTGGTAATCAAGAACATATTGATCAAAAAAATTGATATTTGTGACCAAACAAAATGGATGGTATAATTTGGATATTATAATATCAGCTCCCATTACTTGCTAAGTAAACGCTATAACATAAATTTCAAATATATGGAAAATGGTTAAAGGGAACAAGGTCATACATGATAGTGACATGACAAACAGTATTGTTGTTCTGGGTGCAATCACAAGTGATATTGCTTCCATTTGAACCATCGTAATCAGTCCATTCATGGTCAGTGCAAGAAGTTGAGTTCGCTCGAATATTTTTAACCTGCAGTTTTGAGAAAATTGCTTGGAGAGCACTCACTGTTACAGACAAATCAGAGATTAGGTATTTAGTAAAAAAAAAAAATTACTGGTTTATCAGCATTGATACTAAATTGAATCAAGAGTAAATCAAAACAGAAATGCTAAAGCTATCAGTTTCAATATTTGACCACGTCAAAGATAATACAAATGGTCAAAAAGTGTCAATAAATAAGTTTGAAGATCAACAAAATCATTCTTGCCCTTTGTGTCTCAATCAAGCTTAATTAATTCCAGCCTCTAATGTTTAAAAAACTTTTCCCAGGTTTGGGTACTACATACTTTTTTCTGCTTTTGCCAACTAAAAAACTGTGTCAAGAAATGGCAGCGAGGCAACTTGCTCCATAACTTGGAGAGACACAGTAAATTTGCTAATCAGAGTAAAAAGCAGAAACAGTAATCTCAAATGGGTCATGAACATTTCCAGGAATTAATCAGAGCTTCGTCGAAATTCAATAAATGTCACAGTCTTACAATTACAGAAACAAATCATAATCCAACTGGCAAGAAAAACAGAGAACAAGTTTTGTTTGTGTTGTGGGAAATCAAAATTCTTGGATAGTTAATGCATTTCACAGAATCAAATTAATGTCTCGGACATACACTGTTACCAAATTTCCCCATGTGAACCAACACAGAATTAAATATTTCATGAAGGAACAAAGCCAAAATTAGTTAAATATTTCATCTCTTTGATAGCTAAGTTTTCCTTCTTTTATCATCATACAAATAATGCTCACAAAAATGACAATTTTACACGCAATCACATGGAAAAGCAATTAATTTTGTTTAGAACAATAATTGAGACAATCAGAGAGTTTTCAAACAATGGAATTACTTTTATATCTACTTTTTAATAAAATATTTGGTGGGTTTTTTTTTTTATAGGAATATTTATTTAAAGGGACCATTATAGTGATGGTCCGCATTATTGATTCAAAGTTCAAAATAAATAAATAAATAAAACACAAAAAAACTAGTTACTATTTATAGAGAAAGAAAAGAAAATTTTAAGTAAAATATTCAAAATGGCTTCTTACACTAATTATTTTCCCAGAAAAGTGAAATTCTCCGATCCCCACATTTTCTCGAGAACCAAACAAACAACAAGAAAAATAAATAAATAGAAAGCAAATAGGAGAGAGATTTGACCATGAACAATAATAATCCTAGTAAATGAAATATTGAGAGAGAAAGAGATTCTTTCCTAGGTGGAATTTAGAAAAAAGAAAGAAAGTAAGTCAAAGCTTCAACCATTTTTTTTTTTTTTTTTCTTTTTCTTCATTTCTTAGTTTCTTGCCAGCCAAACAGAATAATTCCCACAGCAATTGTCAAAAACAGAACAAAAACACCTACTGAAGAACATACCCAGAAACTAAAATCAATCACAAAAAGCATACGAAGAAACCAAAGAGAAAGAAAACATTGAACAGAAATATTCAAATTGTTTTCTCACACGACTTGTTTTCCCAGAATAAGAAAAATTCTCAAATGGCTTACATTTTCTCGCCAACCAAACATCAAACAATCAATCATAGTAAATTACTGACAGAGAAAGAGATTATTTCTAGGTCCACCTATGATAACAAAAATTCAAAAGCTTCAATCTTTCGTTTTAATAAACTTCCTTAAGATTCTTTCCAACCAAACAGAAGAATTCTCACAACAAATGTCAAAAACAGGACAAAAGCACTCACTGAAATCATACCCAGAAACTAAAATCAGTAACTTTCTAATCCCATTAACAAATTTATACAAATAAAAACATAAGACTACAAATTTCTTCAATTTCCCTTAAAATTCCCGGTAACCAAACAGAAAACGCTCTTCCACAAACATGTCCAAGTAAACAGAACAAAAACACTCACAAAAGATATACCCAGAAACTAAAATCAGTAACTCCGAATCCCCTTTACAAATTTATACACAAAATAAAAACATAAGACTACAATTTAGTTCTGTTTTCTTATCATAGGCAACCAAACAGAAAACGCTCTTTCACAAGCAGGTTCAAGTAAACAGAAACAATAACAAAAACAAAACTTAATGTTTTCCCAGATACTAAGAACTATTAACTGTTAAAGTGAGTTCATTGTAGTGAAATTTACCTTCTTCGTCAGGCAAAAGCTGAGCGTGTGATCCAAAGTTCACACAGCAGTTGAGAACCAAAAATCCAAAAACAAAAACAGAAACAGCCTTGGTCATTGAAAGACCAAACCTCATTTTCGTTCTGCAACAAAACTTATCTCCTCTCCCTTCTTCGTTTCGGCCAAATTTCCCTCAAGCCAAACAGCAAAATGACAAGCAATTTGGAGACAGAAACGACACTTCTAATACAAAGAGAGTGGAGTGGTTGAAAGAAAGAAGAAGGAATTTGAAGATAACAGGAAACCAAGGCTCGTTTTTGCTCTTATCGTTTTGGTTTTTTGCATGTGGTCAAACCGCAACTTCAAACTTGTCAGCAAATATTAAATTTAAAGAAGAAATAAGAAAACAAAAAACAAAAACAGGAAAACTGCTCTTCAAAAGCAAGCTGAGACAGAGAAAGATGGGCGGATGGGGGTTGATTCTTGACTGTATTATTAATAATGATACTAATTAATACGTTGCATGGAAGGGAGAAGGGGTCAGCGTCAGGAAAATTGAAAGTGTTTTCAGAAAAACAAAAGCAAAACAGTGTGGGAAAACACTGAAAAGGTGTGAGGGGGATGAATTGCAATTGGACAAGACGATCACATTGAGATTGACGAAATTTAGACAGCCTTGAGCCGCCAAGATGGATTACCACGTCAGCCGCCAAGTGTTTTACGGAAATTTATTATTTCATGGGTAAAATTCTATAGACCTCCCCTAAGGTTTACAATAAATTTTAAACCCCTCCAGTTTGACAAAACTGTTATACCTCCTCTCTAATTACTTGGATTGTGATTAAGGGGTGGCCGGATAATAAAAAATTATATTTCAAATTTAATTAATACGACAAAAAAATCTAAAACATTTAATATTTCTTTAATCATATTCCTTTTACATTTTATATCCATAATAATCTTCCCATAATTGAAATCTATGATAATTAAAATAAAATTACACAATATCTTTAGTGACATAAAATCTGGGGTGATCATTATAGAAAATTTCTATTAATTTTTCTAATATTTAGAATATTTAATATTTACTATACTACTTTCACGAATTTGCTATTGGATTTAAATAATAATAAACGTGAGAAAAAATAAAGTAAAATGAAAGTTAGATTAATCAATAAGAGATAACAGTAATATATCATTCTTAATGATGTCTTCCCCAATCCATTTTTAGGTTATCTTAGGTTTTTTTAATTTCTAAAGATTAATTTTATCTAACGACTTGAAAGATCAATAAATTTCAAACGTCTCAACGATTTAAAATATTATTAAATATCTATTATTATGAGGTTAAAGGGTTTTTATATTGGTAGCGTTTGAGATTTCACAATCTCCCATAACTCAAAATTTATACAATTAATTCTATTTCTAAGTATCCTAGTATTGCTGTGAAAAATCGTACCAATCAGAGATACCCAATTGACATCAGAAGGGACCAAGTAAGTTGTATGCGTAGGCGTAGCGTAGGCCGTAGCTACTAGTAACCAACAAGGTCAATAAAAATAACATAATAAAGTAAAGAACAAGAGGGATTTTATAGTGATTAAGTCGTATAAAGACCAAGCCTACATCCACTATTATATTATTGTTAAGGACGTTTACAGGGTTGAATGAGGTTACAAAGGAAAAATTGTGAGCTAAATGGAAGGCATTCAACTCTCACGAGCTATTCTCTTGAAACACTCTAAAATATGTCGATGTGCATTTTTCCTTGAACTCTACTAATAAACTGGAATTGTCATCCTTTGAAACGGAGGCTATAGGCCTCTTTTATACTTTGTTTGTCTAACACTGATTAGGAGTGGGTGTTACGGGGTTGTTTGCATGCATAATCCCCCCTGAATCTGAGTCAGTAATTTCTATGTTTGTGACAAATCGAGCCATGTTAATTGTAGCTAAACATATGCTTATGATAGTAATCACCTTGTGAGGAAAGGCAAGCACTAATGGGACGATACGTGAGAAGATCCTGGCTGTTAGGCTTTGATATACCTTAGGGATGCGTGGCACAAATTTGACTGTCAGGAAACTGGGCATAAAATCTTCAATGCATCCAATTCCTTAAGATTCTTTGTGGAGGGGAAGTTTGTATATTATTTTTCATATTGTGGGGGTAAAGTTATTTTGTAATTCTCAGGGTGTCTATGTAATTTATCCCTATAGTATCTAAAATATAATAAGAAGATATTTTTGCCTTTCGTCTTACCGAATGGTCAATTTTGTATTAATAATTGAGTTTCCAAGAAAGGGCATATGCCTTCACCAAATGTGTTAAGTGAATTGAATTCAAAATAAGAACAACTACTACCCGTGAACGATAATTCTCTATCTCGTACAAAAAATTTAAGATTTTACTTATTAAAATTTCAAGTTCATCTCCTATAAATTATTTTATTTGGCCTATTTATCAGGTTTTCTTTTTGTGTAATCAAGGTATCCGAACCAGTTTATGTCCATCTCGACTAATCCCCCAAGACTATGAAGTTAACGACCTAGTATACCTTTCAGTGATTATCCCTAATAGCAACCGAGGCGAGTTCAGTAATTCCTATTAAGAATTATGGTGACTCGAACTCAAGACTTCTTGAGTAATACATATAAGAGTCATTATCTAACCACTCAACCACCGAGTCGTGGTTGACATCTTTATTGTTAAACTTTACATTTTAGTTCTTTTCAATGCAATTTTCTATATCAATTTTTAAGTTTATTTTATACACACTTTTTAAGATCGTTTAATCTAAAACACGCCCAAGATTTTATAAAACCATTAAAAATTTCCTATAATTATTAAAAACTCTATAAGACAATGTTATTTTTAATTAATAAATTATAAGGGGCTTTTGAATAATTTTTGTAAACTTTGGATGTGGTAGGACCAAACGATCCGCCAAAGGTATATGAATAACTCCCATAATATAATTTCCTGATTGTAAAGTTATTAGTACTTGGTATTATGGGATAACGCTGACTTTATTTTCTCAAAATATTCCTGACTTTCCTTTATTCTTCATTCAATCTCACTGTCACCCGATTTAATCGATGCCATGTGCATGCATTTAATTTTATTATTATATAATATATTACTTAATAATATATAATATAGCCTCACCGAATTAATTATTTTCAAAGAAGCATTATTGTTTTGAAGTTGACCACAATCTTACAAATTACAATTGATTTAATCCGGTAATTATTATAATGACTTGTCAAAATAATTAACATTATCTACATTTCTATTATATAATATATGGAATAAGGCCGTAGACCAATTACAATTTATTTGAAAAATTGCTACAATTAAAGTATTAATTAATTATTTATATGTTGGAAAAAGTAAGAATCAATCAGCTCACAATCATTTTACGTAATGGAAAGTTTCGTCATGGAATTCCGACGTTGGATATTGAAAGTTCTAAAGAGAAAATTTAGGGTGGCTTTACCATATTAAAGAATATTTATTTAACTTTTGGATTTGTTTAATAATTTGTGAATATTAAATTGTATTAGTTGATGAAAACTTGTATATGGGTATCTTCTTGGACCAATTTTAATTTTCAACTGAGATGAATAAAAGTTGTCTTTTTCTCACTAAACCCCTTTTATTATATTATTATCCTTCAATAATTCAGAAATTAGAAATATTTAGTTTATAAAAAAATATTAAATAAATATGAAGCACATACAAAAACAAATGATATTGATAATTGAAGTCAGATTTATCAAAACCATTAATTTCTCTAACTTGAAGTCATAATCAGTCGGTTCTTCTTGATTTCATGCCTGGTTGGCCGGTGGCTGGCTGGGAAGAATAAATGTACAAATGTACGATAAAAACAAAACAAGGAAAGAAACACGGTTTACTACTGTCTGGTATAAAATGTCACACGGTTTAATGGACTGTCATGGTTAAGATTCTAGGATTTATAGAATTATCACAAATGACTTAATAATAGATTCAAAATGACAAATCAGATCTGAAAATCAGAATACTCTAACTCAAATCACTCAAAGCATATAAATCAAAAGAAAAAGCAAAAGGTAAGAGATACAGCAGATTTATAGTGGTTCGGCTTTGTAGCCTACATCCACTCTCCAAAGCTTAAAATAGAATATCATTAATCACAATACTAAGATGTATAGAGAATTTCAACACAAAGAAGAAAACAAGGAAAGAATATACCCAAATAGAAACCCTTAGGCTCCTCTATGAGCGCTCTATCTTTTCTTCACAGCTCACAAGATTGATTTATACACAAGAGTCACTTTTAAGATCAACCTCCACTTATATTGGATTTCCCCACAACCTTGAGATGAACCACAGCCTAGAATCTTCCTCATACCCATGCTTCTATTGAGGTGTACGGAATAAGGTGGTTGCAAAAGACATGGATCAAAGGACATGAAATGAGGAGTTGGTTCTTATCAACAAATCTGATCTTTTTCACAAAACGGTGTCGCCTAAACTCTCTTTGACCTCTTTATAAAAGAGTTTACTCCACCGTTGCAAGTTATAAGCCACATCACCACAATCATCTTAAACATTATATATTAAAATTCTACTTCTACATTTTAGATTGGTTTTTTTAAATTTGCCACCATCCTTTTGAATAAGTACAAAAAATTTTAATTTGTAAAAATAGATAAGATCAACATTGTGATGAAATTATTAAACCAGTGGAATTTATTTCATCTTGGATTCAACTCTATGAAAGTTTAATAATGTTACTAGCTGGCTTTGTTAGTTCTACATAAGAAATCTAAGCGCATTTGATTCAAGGAATATTATATTATTAGGAATGTTATATTAATTGAAAAATAGATTACCTTGAAGATTATTGGGAATGTTTAGGGAAATGTGTTTAGTTAGGTTGTAATAAATTGGTGGGTATTTTATATTTATATATTTAGTTGGGAGAAATAAATTAGCAGGTATGTTATATAGATTATTAAATTGTCCTCCTATTTTAATATTATTATCATATTAGATTATTTTTTAACCTCCTATATTTGTTAATTTAGCTAAACACTCTCACAATTAAAGTTTGAAAATTATCTAAAGCACCCCAGCCATCCAAGAGGACAGTCGACCATTTGCCA